CTATCTGCTGGGGCGCCGCCGTACTACTACTACTACGACGACAACAACTGCTACTGCTACTACTACTGCTATTGCTACTGCCGCGACTACCACAACAACTACCACTACTACGACGACGACCACTACCATGACCACCACCACCACCACCATCACCACCACCACCCTGCTAGTGCTGCTGCTGTTCAGACGCTGATGATACTGCCTTTGACTTTGCACATGGTGATCGTGATGGTAGCGTAGATAAACAGAAGACTGCGATGAGGGATTCTGATGGCTTTTTTGCTTACAATAGCTGATGACGATCTTGGTGAAGAAGGAGAAAGAATACTGTATGGTTGGGAGTGTGCTGGTGATTCTGACAGTGACATGCATATCATGCTGACAACATCGACAATGATGATAAAAAGTGATGACAAGCAGGACGACGGTGGCAATGAAGATCTTATCTTTTGAACGTTCTGAGCCTCCAGGCGCGCCACGAGCTCGGGCTTGCGCCCAGAGACCGGCATGCCAAGCGCTCGCAGCGCTTCTCTGAGGTCGACCACCTACTGCAGCTCTGCTGAAGCTTGAAGAGATCTGAGTAGGTCGAACCAGAATGTCTATAGGATCTAGAATATCCAAACTAAGTCTGACGCAGCATGCCACAGGCCAGGACGCTTCATGCAGCCGCATAGAACCAGGACACGAGGCTGAGGAAATGGAAGCTTGTGTTGCGGATGCATTGTAAGTATGAGCTCCTGTTCTAACGGTTGTCCTTTGCTGAGGCCGCCGGCCCCCAGCATGCTGTCACTCGAACTGGGCAACCCTGTGGGGCAATCCTTGGAGGGCGTCAAGTGCAAGGTATTGTGGCTGCAGAGTGGTGTGTCTGTGTGTGTCTGTGGCTTGGCCAGTGCTGAAACCCCAGATCCCGAAATCGGGCGGGAGAACCCCCTCGGACACGTCCCCCCTTTAGTGAAGCTCGACAAGCCTCGATATCTCTCGTAACAGGTCCCTCGGATCCTTAAATTAAAAGGGGGAAACCCCGTTGGGCGGGGTTTTATCAATGAAGCCCGATAAAGCTCCATTGACTGCTGTAATGTATGGCTCCAGCGAACTTCGATTCCACACACAACTTGCACTGAATGACACTCCTCGAATGCTCATGCTTGGGCTGGAACAGCTGAGAATCACTGAGCTGCACTGAGGCCTTGGGTGACCCTTGAAACTGAGCACCATTGGTTCTCATTGAAGCTCTTTGGGCCTCGATGGCCCTCAATGGGCCTCGATTGGGGTCATGCACTTCTCGAGGGGGCTCCCTGACAGAGTTCCCTTGAAAGCCTGTAATGCTGGGGTCGCGTCAGATGTCACGTGGGTGTCAACTACAACTCTTGCACTTTCTTGGCAACGACGCTGATCGATTTTCCAATCAACCGACACTGCATAAAGTCTGCCTTCATCTCGTGGTACGGCTGCGCTGGTTCCGCAGACCCTCAGATAGCGTCGAGTTTTGCAAGATCTGGTACATAATGATAAGCATAATAGTAGTAAGAACTGATAACCATAATGATAGCAATGATGGCAACAATATACAATAATAATGCTACGGTCTCCGCAGCCTACCAGCCAACTTCTTCTTTCCTTTCCCAGGTGCGCTCGTCTTCATCTTGCAACGCTCGTGCCTGGCATCCAAAGGTATATTATAGTATCTGTACAATAAGGAACCCTACGACGAATACTACTCCGCCAGCTCAGAGTCCGAAAGTTTGGAACGGCTTGCCATTCAGCAGTACCAGTGCATGACTGGCTTACATGTTAGCCAACAACACTCCAATATTTATACTTGCACACCTTAATGTTGAACCCTCAACAGTGAACTTAAACTCTAAATCTTAAAAGCTAAAACTTAAAGTGCCTGAATCCAAACCCTTTAACCCCTCAAAGAGACCTTTTTGGAGCCCTCAAAGAACAAATCCGTAAAAAAACCTTGTAGGAGCCTTCAAAGAACCCTGATCTGTGTCCTGATATCCATGTCCTTTCAAGGGATTTGCGAAATCTATCGGGGCCTTCTAAAGGGATCATCTAGGGAATCCCTGTCCTAGTTCCTCAACCTTGCTGAGACCTCATTGAGACGCTGGATGAGCTCCTGCTTCCTTCCAGACACCTGAGATCGCTAGGTTTGGGCTTGGGGCTTAGGGTCTAGAGCTGTAGGTTGAAGTTTAAAGTTTGGATCTCCAGGGTCAGGGGTAGGTTTATGGATTTAGGGTTTAGGGTTCAATGTAGGGGGCCTAGCAACGGGAACGTCATTCGTAGAGGGTTAAGGGTTAAGGGTTTAGGATGATTCAGGAAAACACTGAAAGACGATAATGCAAATCTTCTAGAATCCGGAGAACTCCATTATTACTGTAATCATTGTTGCTTTTGCTACTAGTACTGCCATCATTACGATCATTGCTCTCGTTACTGTGATTGCTGTAAGTACTAACTAAATGTAGTTCATACAAATTACAGAGAACTCATTACTATAATACTTGCTAATATGAGCTAGTAAGACAGTGGATCACCGTATGAACTGCTAGTCCGAACTATTAATACAGACAACTAATACCTACACCCTAAGCCCTAAACCCTGACTGAAAACATGCACTACTAATATTACAATATATTTAAGTCATATCATCAATATCAAAAAAATAATATCAATAATTCAACTTAAAATTCAGTCTTTTAACCGAAACGTCGACGAAGGCGCAGGGAGCTGGAGCTTCCGCAGCTTCTCGCGAAGCTGCAGGACCGTATGCTGCTCGAGGCTCGCCTCCTTCAAAGGACATATAGTAGGTGCAAGACCATGTTACATATAATCTTGTACACATACATATATATGTATATATACAGAGAGACAGAGTACTTGTATAAACAATGCACATACGCATAGAGGTAGGATATAAATATAGATGTAGATGTAGATGCAGATGCACATATATGTAAATGTAGATGCAGACCTGATAAAGATATAGATATAGATACAGACTTATGTATAGATGTAGATATGGATATAGATGTAGTTGTAGATGCAGCCGTAAATGTATATATATATATACATAGATGTCTATATATATATATATATATTATATGGTCAGCGCAAACAGCCACCGTGCTCGTGGAGGGAACATGAGAAGATTACCCAGATGCAGAATGGCGACACGACATGGCGCCGAGAGCGCAGAACACATTGATAACTATGCTGGCTCTGCTGCTGCGGATGACCATGAGGAAACGCAGTGGAAGGAGGGGGCTGCAGAATGCCATGAAGATTAGGACTACGACGACTACAACTACGACTGTGCCACCACTACCCTTCGTGGAGCTTGGCCTCTGCCGCTGTCTTTCGCTTTGCCGACCGTCCAGATTCCACGGCCTTCGGGTTTCGGCTTCCGAGGCTATGGGTTTCAAGTTGCACTGCTCGCGTTCAGCTCAAGGCTCTAAGTGGGTCTGGGAATGAAGGCTCCCCGCGCCCTTCTGCCATGGCAAGGATTTCGATTTTGGCTGCTTTGCTTTGCACCGGGGCATCAAGCTCTCAAGCCGGCCTTGCGGACAAACTGGGCCGTCCTGAGACTGCGAGGGATGCAGGCTAGCGGCTAGCGGAAAGGACACATAAATCACGGCCGAAGCACCTTTGCCGGCAGTCTGCGAGACCTGCGCATGGCTGGAAACTCAGGCTGCAAAAAAAACTAACATCAGCGAGCCTGGATGTAGCTCACCCAACCCTGTAAAGGGCGACGGCGACGAATGTCCGCCTGAGAGGTTAAGTCGAGCTACAAAAACTGTTGCACGCTCAGTTCTGGAGGTCAACAATACCACTACTGGGCCATGTCAGACACGTGCTGCTGACTGCCACCCGAAGATGTACGTTTCATGTGCTAAGCCCTTGGTATAGAGTATAGGGCTTGCCGCGCCAGGTCAAGCGGCCAAAGAAGGCCAACACTGGCGGCAGCACCCACGAAGCTCCTGAGCATGTAGCAAGAGCAAAAAAGAACAGCCGTTCCTGCTGCATCCAGCTGTCACTTCGGATGAATCATGCGGAGGATCGCAAACTTGCCAATTTGTGCTCGAAGCTTTAAATTGCTGCCCCAAGGCTTTTGCTGGCCTTCTGGCTAAATTTGTACCTGCACCGTGGCCACCAAGCCCTGAACTCTCCTGCAAGGGTTCACAACAGACTCGTCCTGGACCGCAAATGACTGCAACAAGCCCCAGCCCAACGGAAGGGAACCACCGCAAACAAGCGAGACAAGGCGGACAAGAAGGGATGCAAGTCGGCGACAATCACCACAAAGAAAAAATACGGCGTGCCCCTCCTGCTGCACTGAAGCCTGCCTTCTGCTTACACGGCGAAACTGGGCAAGCTGGTAGCATACGTTGGGCCGCAGGAAAAACTGATTGTCACTACAAGGTCTTCTGCAACAAGCTGGTGAGAGATTGCCAGGCCAAGCGGCCAAAGAAGGCCAGCACTGCCGGCAGCACCCACGAAGCTCCTGAGCATACCGCAGCTGCCGAACAGCAGTTCCTGCTGCATCTAGTGGTCACTTCGGATGAATCATGCGAAAGATCGCAGCCCTTTGACGACACAGCGAGGTGAGATCTGGGTCCTACCTTGTCCTACGTGCTCAACACACACCATTAAACAATGTGGCTCGTGTGGCTCTCCAAGCCACCAAAATCGAAAACGCTGATTTCCTCGCGACAGCAAGAGCTGTCATGGCAAGGGTGGCAGCTACTGAAGACAGGGTTGGTTGAAGAGTACATTGCCT